CGCGTCCCCTTATCGGATGACAGCGGTTAAGGGCCGGGAATATTCGCGAATTATCGATCGCGTGCCGAGGTCGCGCGCGCACCACCTCGTCATCGTCATCGTCATCATCGGTCTCGTGAATTTCCGGTCCGATCCACCGGGGAATCCATCTTCACGATCTCGTGACGCGCGCACATCGTTTCTCCAGTTTCGGGGAACGCGAATCATCGCGCGCCATCGAGTGCGTTCAAGAAGGGAGAGAGAGAGAGAGAGAGAGAGAGAGAGAGAGAGAGAGAGAGAGAGAGAGAGAGAGAGATCCGGACGCGACCCCCCCTCTTGATATTCTCTATTCCGAGTCCAACGACACCGGCAGCCAGCACCTACATGCTTCTGACGGGTCCTTGACTTCTCTAGGCTACGGTAAGTCGCCAGTCAAGACTTTTGCCATGCCAAGGATAAAACAAGTAGTAGTAATAGTGTTGAGCCGCCGATCTCGGAGCGACTTTGTCGGGATAATACACTCCATCGGATTGTTCGCGGCAATTTTCATTCTTATTTACATCCTTACTCCTCGCTGGAGACCTTCAGAGTCTGGTCGATATGACTTATATATCTTATGCGATATAACTTAAGTGTCTTATGCGATTGACACGGAAATATTTTCACCTTCAAGATATTTATTATAGGCAAGATATTTATTATAGGCAGAATTAATTGCGGAGCTCTCTCTCAATTTGCGATTCCATTTCTAGATCTCGATCCAATTATATCTGATCGCGATCTAGAATTGCTGATCTTAAAATGAGCTCTACTGTACTTCAAATTCTATATCGACAAGGTCTATATTGAAAGAATGGAAGACTAATAAAGGAAAATATATCTATACGATGACTAAAATTGTCATGTCTTGACATTTCGATATATTTAACAAAATAAGGCGTTACATTTTTTTTCGTTGAAATGTGATTAAACGTAATTTGATTTTTCATTAATCTCGTTTCGCGCTCCTTAACTTTTTACAATTTGAAAGCGTATTTTTTTTTACATTAATTTTATATGGAAATAAAGACAGCTTAAAAATGAGTTAATCGGCGTCATCTCGTTTCCTACAACTGATATTCCGATCCTTCTCCGTATAATCTAATTTGACTCCATTTACTACATGCGGCGATACTAAATGTCGATTTTGTTAACAAGCTATACTATTAGCTTCACTGCATCATGATGACTCGCAAATTTATGATTATTTAATGCTTAACCACGAGCAAAATGCAGCACGATGCTTGGGATGATCTCATTTAGTCGTTAATGACCTGGATAATGTTGGACAGTGGTAGATAAATCTGGACACGCTCTCAACGTCTGTAATTGACGCATAAATCGGAATCGTTTATTAGAGCATTGAAATTATCATTCAAACACACATATCGAACAAGATACAATATATTTGAGAGAAGATATTGAAAAGAAATGTTTTTTTTTCTTGCAATCAAAAGAATACAAGATTTTCTAATACGTAAAGAATATCGCAGGATGCAAGGAAAAGTTGCGTAAAGATTCCGAGGACAAATATTTATTCCATATATCGGGGCTAGAAAATTTCAACCGTAAAGCGAAACAAAGTCAACGCGCACAATCGCACGCCGATGACGATAAAAGGACGCAAACGACAAACGGTTCAATCTCCGGGATTAATTTTCGAGAAATTCCGCGACTCAGAATCCTCGGAAGCGAGGTCGAGAAACGCCAGAGCGACGATACGATATCTGGACGACGTATCTCTCTCCGCGCTCCCGAACCAGTCCCGACGACCTTAATACGCGTAGACGATGTCCTCGCGGTATCCTTGAATTGTTCCAAGAGGGAGAGAAAGAGAGAGAAAATATCTCCTACAGAGCGATCCGCGGAGACTCGTTTCTCTCTCCATTCTTGGCGTCGAAAAGTTGGATCGCGAGACGCGCAAAGTCGGTCGCGCGTGCCATCCTTGGCCCGACTTTATCTCCGACTTTGACCCGCTCGTCGCGTCGCGCGCTCGCAAAATTACATACATGCCATTAATTGGCTTAATGTCGAATAAGCGCGCTACCTTTCGCCGCTACCGGCGATACGAAGTGAATTAGTAGCCTGGTGCGCGTTCGCCGTTTCTGCGTTTACCGCGGGAAAACCGGCTGCCTCTGCAACTCGGAGTAACTTAGCGAGCCGCGAGGTCGAATTGAATTAAATATAACAGGATGATTGCGCAAATGAATTTAGCGAACTTTCAGAAAGAGAGAGAGAGAGAGTGAGAAAGTAATCTCTAACTTACATTATTATCGAAGTAAGAAATCTTTGTATCGACAGGAGAAATCAAAGCCAAAAATCAATTAATTGACAATACAAGAACGGGAACGTTAAATGGACACTCAACAGATACTTGAAAGCTTGATAGATCGAGGTGAAAAATTTATTTTTCTTCACATGTTGAAAATATTGTCAAACGCAATTATTTAACCAATTATTTGACCGAGACGTTAATCGTTTGTTACATAAAGTCGAAAGGATTATTGCCCTTTCGTGATAAATGCCTTCTTCCGAAATATCCGTGAATGCTGCGAGTTCCTTTCACTCTGCGATATATCCGGCAAGACCCGCAATGATTGCCGTAGAATCTTACTAAATGGTTAATGAATCTGATGGCAGCGGTTTGGCACTCGCTTGCGTATCGGTGTGCGCAAGCAGTATCGATTGTCGCGTGACGTCATTCACAGAGACCGGCATTCGTCTTCAACTTTGGCCTTTCGCCGCCCCGACATTCGATTCGTGGCTCGTCTACACGTGTTGACCGAATAATTGCGTTTTTTATGAAGCCAATTAAATCGAGTTACCCTCGAGCGTTAATGAATAAACTAAACTACGCGGTTGTACCAATATTCCTTGTGAATTTCGTTAAATTACGATCTGCAGCAGTCGAATGTTTCATATTTCAATGATGGATTCATCTTTAAAGAATCTAAAAAAAGATCTTTCCTATTTTGTAAATTTATAAATATTTGTTGTTATTATATCTTATTTAATTAACGTGTTGTATTATTATTTATATTAGTATGAAAATTACTTGTAAATAATTATCAGCAAGTAGTAAGGAAATACTGATGCTTTTTGTAGAACTCTTAAGTTACGCCTGTAGCTTTAAATCCGTCACTGGTTACAGTCCGTTAATAACAACTTCGACATTAACAGCGCGAGTAAGTATAACCGAGTGACATCATCGGAGTCTTTATCTTTGAGACTGCACGCAAGTCTCTGGTAAGGGGATTCGAGAAAGCCGTTTGTTGCTTCGCTCGCCTCGCGCATTTGCGAAACTTTGATTTTCTGCTTATGTATCCCGCGGAAGCTGCGGTGTTCAATGATGTCTGATACAATTGTGCAACCAAGTTGGAAAGTTTAATATGGATATTATCGTGTTGCACGCGTAAATATGGATTGACAAACGCGCTATAATTAAAATTGTAAATATATTTTTATAGCAAAATGTTGGAGTAAAAAGTTTATTTCCGATTTTGAAAGTTCTCGCGCATTCTCCGGTCTTTTTAATCCAAATACTTTGTATATGATTACATCTTTAAGTATCTTTTATTGTCATATTGAAATAAAAATGGAAAAAATGTACGCTGTTGAGAGTCATCACAATAACTGTAATAATCACATTAGTAGACTGCAGAAGTTTATCTTTCATCTTATCTTCCTCAATTGATATCTTCCAAGGATTTACATCGTAAGTCGGAAAATTGAATGTGGCAGAAGCATAGGATAAGAAATTATTGACTAAAATTGTATTAATCGATCAATTTCCTATCGATCAATCGATGACAAAATTAAAAAGAAGACTGAATTGATTATAAATATCTCAGAAGCAATATTTTATACAACAAAACATTTTTATTAATCACGCAATTATTAATAATATAATGTGATCGGTGTTTAATTATTAATCATAAATGGAGAAAATTATGGCAAAAGAAGAATATCACTCTGATGGCGAGACCCCATCCGTTCAGCTCGGCTCCAATCAGATCGTCTCGGATGCTGCGCCCATCTCCTCTCGATGCGTGTGTGCGTACGAGTGAGGCGCGTTTAACCTACATAAGGTCGTGATTGGGCGAAGTAAGTGGCGAACGATCTTTCAGATAATCGATGATACGCAACACAAGGATCGCGAAGCATCGTCGGTTTCTCTCACCCGGGAAAAGCGTTCGTTCGTTCGTTCGTTCATCGAAAAAAAAAGATAATGAAAAAAGAGATGCGATTTACGCGCGCAATCCCTGTCTGTGTTGCTTCGAAAGTTTAATTATTTTTTTTCATTAAAATAGGCGATCCGCAAAATCGCGACGAATCAGGACGAATGTTGAGAAACACGTAACGCGAGGCCGAGAAATAAATTTGAACGAAGGGAGGATTTAAAGGGACTTAACGCGACTTATTCGCGCTCCCACGATTATCAACTATTGAAGTATAACGTTTTGATATTATCCTATCAACGCTCTGATTCACGATACTTTTATATATAATCTCTTACCTATAATATGTCTTTAGCATATTTAAAATTGTAAAACTTATATCGTACGCATAATTCTATAATTTATAAATTTAAAATCCTGGAAATTATATTTTCTCCATGTATCGGAAAATCGTATTGGTTGATAGTAGATACAGAGATCACATAATTGATGAAATATAAAAATTTTGCATGATAGATTCTCTCAAATATAAGATATCTCGAGAAACAATAATCTATTTGAAATCGATTTGTTGCTCCATAAATATAATAATAAGATTTTTGTATAAAAATATATACACAAGTTATATGCATAATAACTACAATCTCTTAAATATAATATAGACTTTTTATTATAAACTAATAAAAGAATACTTTATATAATGTGAATAAAACGTGATTGTATGATTTGAAAGGCGATTCAAAGAAAATTAGGAGTGAAGGAAGATCAGTTAGGAAAGTGCACATCTTGCTCTTTTGTTCACAGGGTATTATCAGCCGGCTGGTCCACTGATACAGCACCCACCACCACCGACCTTACCGCCCGTTAAAGGTCCACCTCCGGAACCGACGCCCACACCTCCACAAAATTCAGAGGGTTCGGATGATCTGGTTGCCACTTCCACGACTTCTGGAGGCACAAGCAGTACGGGTATGTTACTAATAATTAATACACGATAATACGTAATAATAATAGTAATTAAATATATTGTTGAGAAAAGGAAAATTCTTTATCATTTTTTTCTAATTTTTTACGGAAAAAGAAATTATTGTACATAATATTGAAATTCACATATTCTCGCATTAATATGATATTATTTTTATTTTTATCAAACTTTTTCTTTTAATTATAAAGTGCTTTTAGTTACGTTCTGTTTTTATTTTATAGATTATTTATTTTTAAGATTATTTTAATTCTTTAGGATTCATTTTTTTCTGCCAAGATACAAATTTTAAATTTTGTTTAGGAATCAATTTTTACAAAAATCTGTCATCGATAGAGAAGAGTACTAATATCGCATCTCAAAATAAATTTTGTCATTAGAATGCCGCCAATTAATCGAGCCACATGACTTGCGTCTTAACGTAATCTCCACATTTCACATATCAGATAGATTTCGCTAATTCGGTCTATCAGACAGATTTGCCGCGCAGACAAATGTGTCTCGCTGGGGGAATGTGTCAGATCTCGCATTTGCATTAACGATTTTATCGTGTAACGATCAACATAGCGCGATTATCTATGTTGGAAATGCACTAATGGTGTACACACAGGTGCATATTAAGCTTGCAACGCGTAAAAGTGGCACGTGATGAAAAACGTGCAGCTTAACCGTTTTAATTCTTTTATTTTTTATGTTTTAATTTCCTTTTTATTCATTTTGCGTTACGTCAACAATTTTTAGTTTTTCTTTTTACGCAAATTTTTTACTCAAAACGAGTCACATTGCTGAAATTTACGAAAACTTCCCTGCCAACGAATGAGATTACGCATTTGATTTTAACGAAAAATTTTTTTCTACATTTCACAAAGAATCGTAAATGTTGCTGTAAAAGCTGCGCGCTGGATCAAGATGTAAAAAGCCATGCGCATTAGCCATTTTTAAATCGGACAAAAACAACGCGTCGGATCCAAATTAAACCGAGGGAGGATATTTTTCTGTATTTTTTATGCGTATAAATAGTATGTTGCGCTACGGTATTATAGACATCAGCGTATAATAAGCGACTCTAAAATTATGAAGCGCATTGACGTGAGCGCGGGACTAATAGCACTCACGAATTAATTGGATGGAGATATCAGTATCCTCGATATAGCTCTCGTTGCCTTCGAATCGCCATATCGAGGTCGAAAATATAATATAGCACATTCGTAAACAAAAGTTGTCTTTACGTTAATGTCGTTGATAACTGACTAATGATAAATGTAGGTCTTTAAAGACAGATTCCTCTAAACTATTGAATATAAATGTATTAAATTCCAATTTCAGCCGCACGTGTTTCATTATCAATGCGATTACTCGCTTAAGCTTATTATTTTTTAACATTGCCCCCATTTCTATGATATTTTAATCTATTGTTTAAACGACCTATAATTTGACAAAATTATAGGTCGTTTAAAAAATAGATTAAAATATTTATAATTTCATGTTATATAAATATTTAAGAAATAAAATACATATATATTTTTTAAATACACACTCATCATTTTTTTAACATCACTTCTATTTCAAGATTTAAACTTTCTGCGATATTTTAGTTTGTTTTAGACGACCTGTAATTTAGAACAGAATTATCGTATGATACAAAAAACATTTAAAGAAATAAAAAACACACATACATATGTTTGAAATTCACATTAGGATATATGCGACACGTAAAATTATAAGACTTTCGTTTGAAATTTTATTGCGAATTATATAGATCGTCTAAAGCGGGCTTAAACATCAATTGTACGGGCAGGATATTCTCTCTCGGCGAATAATAATATCGTTCTTTAATAGGCTTGCAAAGTGATGCGTGTAATTAGTAATTATCGAACGAATAGCCGAAGTTTACTCGGCGCGAACGACTATCGGATCGTATGAAACACACGCAAGAATGAATGAACGATCGTTTGTTACAGGTGGCGGCTTTTATAGGACGTATTGCCCGCAGTACTACGGCACGCCGCCGCAATATCCGGATCTGTGTTATCCGCCGACGTATTCTCATCCTCACGCTCATCCGCCGCATTACTACAAATATCCGCCCACCTACAGAAGGTAAGAGATTTATTCGCGTTCGACGCCTTGCATGATGACACGGATAAGAAGAGGCGAGAGGTAGAGCGAGGAACTTCGCTTTGAAACAACGCGTGCGTCGTTCCATAACGTTGCCTAGAATTTGTTTGCTAAACTAAATGACACCTCAATTTTGAAAATTTCGATCGTTACATTACGTAATCGTTATTAACGTTTATTACGTCATGATACGAAAAGTGGACGGCAGCTGTGTCTTATTGTAACGTTATCAAATGCGTCGTTACGCACCTTTCTTTTCCTGACTAACTCGCTTCTTGGAATCTGCGGATTTGATAAATAACGTGGTCTATATATGTTGATTATCAAACAGTAGTCGTGTATAATAAATTAAGCACGCTGTATCTCATGTTGAACATCATCAGTTTCATGGCATGGAAATTGTCTCGCCCACGTACATGATTAATCGTTTGTTTTCTATTAATTTTGACGAGAGAGAAAATTGACATTACTAAAAAAGGAAGATGCATTATAAGATTCTAATTTTTAATAATTTTAAAAACCTTTTAACACATTTGTTTTAAAATTATTGTGAAATAAAATGAGCATATGCATTAATGTAACATAAAATAGCATTACTGTCTTACTGGAAATGCAAAGAAAGTGCAATTTAATAATTGCAATCTCGATGTTATTACCTTTTTCGATGTCGTCATAATGTTCAGTAATCTCGATAACAAATGGGTCTGCGATAAAGCGTATCCTGTCACATTGCAATGCATTTAGGTCACAGATGGTGCTAACTTTCTGAAACCATCGTTATCTTCTTTTCGATGAAGAAGTGAAAGTTGCAACTAGAGCGTGGCGAACTTTGGTTTTTGTCGCCACGTCGTGGAATTTTAGGTGACCGATATGCAATAATTTTTCAATTACTCGATATTGTCACGTGAAAGAAATATTCTTTCTTATATCTTTACGATTAAATGATAAATTAAAAGTATAGGTAAAGTTTTATAAATTATCCGAAGAATGCAAGTACATTATTCAGCTTTGTCTATTTAGTCTATTTGTTAAAAAATATATACAGTCGATCTTTTTAACATTTCGAATTTTTATAAATCCAATAATATTAATGCTCCGATGTTAAGGAAAAAATTTCTTAAATTGATCAAAGAGATTGTCGAACAAAGAAAAATTATGCGGGCGACCTGAATAATTCTTTTGTGGCGATAGAAATTAGATTCTTGCCACGGTTGCGAGCGATTTTTGGGTAAGATTGTCTCTGACAAAGTTCGTGTTCGTTTTCTGGCGACTTTATCCTCATCATATCTTGTACACACAATAAGAACGGTGGCCGATAAGAGCGGCGGATGTTCGACATGCAGGGACAGTCGTGTATATTTGTCTTTCGATGGTCAACGTACATTCCATAAGAGGGTGTCTTTTCAGGCAATACTATGGCTATCAGGAGTCAGGCGGGGGAGGTGGGCCGCCGCCGGGCAGCGGGGCCGCCGGGGGTGGCCCCGGAGTCGTTGATTATCAGCCACCTCCGCCACCACCCGGCGAATATCCGCTCCCACCTTATTACGGGGGCTACCCTCCGCCACCTCATCCGCCGCCACCTCCGAATCCGGCATATCTGCATTCTCAGGGAAGACCTTTCGTAGACCGTAAGTATCATTTGTGCTATGACCTTGCACTATGAAAAAAATTCAAACATTTCACTTCACTTTTTTCTCTCTTTCTTTCTCGTTCCTCATTCCGAGATTTCTTGAAATTTATTTAATACGGAAGAAAACTGCTGAGAGAGACAAAGCTCTGATACGCACCAACGAACTGATTTTTTTTTTTTTAAGTAATCGAAAAGAAATTGAGCAAGTGTGTATAATTCGACAATAATGCGAGATTAATTTATTTCTATCTCTCTCTCTTGTAAATATAGTCTTTATTATAGTGTTATATAACGTACTCTTTTGTCCAGAAGAATATTTATTATTTATATCAGTTCGTTATAAATAACTTTATCATTATAAGAGATTAAAAGCTCTGATATAATAGGCTGTATTATGTGCGTCTAGTCATTGTATTAATCTCTGAATGATTAAATTTATTTGATAAGGAATTTTTGAAATTTTTTTCAAACATTTTTTTTAGAAAATATTCGGGTCATTTTTCATTAGATATTCAATTTAAATTAACTTTTAATTTTTTCCAAGATGTATTTTTATTTTATTTTTCAACGTGAATTATTTAATGTTTAAATACGATAATTGATTTTCATTTATAATAAACTTCCTTTTCTTTGTCTGTAATGATGCTTTATATACACGCTCCATTTATAATACATATAATACCGATCAAAAGTTTTCAGCATCACTTATAGAAACAGAGAAATCATTATTTTAATGAACAAAAATATATATGAATATTGCTAAGTTATATTTTATTGCTGTTTATATATTTATGCTTTAAAATGATTTTATGAATATGAGGAAAAGTTGATAAAAAAATAAAAAAAAATAAAAAACTTTTTATTTTTATGCGTTTTTTTATATTTTTCGGAGGTCCAATATTTTTCGGTACTGTATATATCTAAAGATTTGAAAAAGTTTATATATTTCTAAAGTTTTGCTTATATGTAACTCTTGACATCACGATTTTTTATTGAAATCATTTTTAAAGATAGAAACGTTGAGACTCTTAAATTATTCTATTATAGATCTTTGCGCGTGCGTAGTTCTTTCCCGGTATATATGTATACCTAGACAAATGCGTAAAAAATTCGAGTTTTAACTGCAACCGTTAGAGGGCTAAAGGAAAAGGCAAAAGGACAATAGATACGACCATTTCAGTTAGTGTGCACGAAACTATGTCCGAGAGTGCAACGTGATACTAGTGATGTGATCGAGAGTTATTTCCTGTTTTCCTTTATCATGAAATCGATTAGAAGAAAAATTCGAAAGATCGTGGCTATATTCGATCAGCCCTTTGTTCTGAGAAACAAACAGATAATAACAGATAACGTTCGTTGTAAGTCGAAAATATCTTCATCCAAATACTTCTCATTCGAAGACATTTTGCTCTTTTTTATCACTTTGGCGATACCGGAACTACGCCGAATTATAGTTGAGTTTCTATTTCTTTGTTTCATTTTACATAAATGTCATCTCGTAATTTATATAAGCAATCCCGTAATTTATATAAGCAATCTTTGTGTGTTCAATAATAATTTATTTAAAAATTATAAAAATTTTTTATATCTCAAAATAATCTTCATTAATATTTGATATAATGTTCATAATAAGTCAAATATTATTTTTTCAGCAATTTTTATAGCAATTATTAATAAAAATTATTACTATTAAAAGTAAACAATGGAACTATTATCGGAATAAATGTATAAGCGAAGAAACATTTTTCTTCGACGGAAATGTCGTTAGTCGAAAATGATAAGAATTTAAATAAACTTTATTTACTTGTTTATTTTCGAGTTAATTATCTCGGATCCGCCGATGCGTTTTCTCGAACTGACGAAAACTATTCCTCCTATTCACTCGACTCTTTTGTATCGCAGCCTTTCAGGGTTGCCCATGCCCGATGCAATCGTGTCCAAAAAACGTGGATACTGGGGCCCTTATTGGTAATGGTAAGGGAGCGCCAGTGGTATCGGGGCCCGGTCTGTCATTGCCACCCAGTGCTTTGGTAGGTCCGCCCTCGCCGGCGAGGGGACTAGCTGGGCTAGCTCCCCCTCACGGTGCCAATGCCTGGGATACGGATCGGGTCCAAATCAACACTCATCGCAACCTAAATCAGAACCAACCCCCCTCGGTCCCACCGTCGCACAATCTAGTCGGTGGACATAGTCGCCTTCAGAATCAAGACTGTAGGAGTAAGGTATGTTGTAGTGTCTTTAGATTTTATATAAAATCGGAAATATCTAATGACGATGAATTAAGTATCTTCAAGCAAACATTTCCCATTTTTGATTATTAATATCCTAATAAAGCACGCTAAAAATTTTTAAATTTTATTTGAAATTAACCACAAGAATTTTTATTATTTTTCGTGTTCTTGAAATTTTATAATTTATTTTATTAAATTATTTTTCAACTGATACAAGTTTAGTAAAAAAAAATCACTTTGAAAAAAATAAAAAGTAGACGAATTTTTAAATTCCGCATACAACATGATCCTCTTAGAAAAAATTTATCAGAGATAAATTTGATTTATATCGAAAGAAAATTAAAATTATTTTATTTTTTTATGTCGCGATATAGTTAACATAATTGAATGTGATCTTCGCGAATTTTTTTTTACAATCGGATTTATTACACGCGATAATGAGAGACAGAGTTGCATGAAAATCGGCGAATTTGCTTTTTGCCATTCACACAGGATGAGAAAAATTGTACCGAAGATACGTTGAGGAAATGCGGTTGTCAGAATGCATGCACGTCTACCTGCGAAGTCAAGATGGAAACGCTATCGCCCACCGAGAAGTTATCGGTGGCGGCGACTTGTCCCAGCAGCAAGTCACAGTATCACAATTTTAAGCTGGAAAACAACAATGTGAAATGCGAGTCCTGCAGCATGGAGATCGCCGACGGGCTGCCATGTGTCGCCAATTGCAATGTCGTTAAATGCGAGTCGGATTACAAGTGCGACATCATGAAGTGTGAGCAGTGCATGAAGGAGGGCCAGATAGCGATACTGGAAATGGACAAGGATTCCGGCATCGTGTTGGACGACAAGCTCGACGGTGATCCCGACGTGAAGGAGGAGCTCGACGTGGTGGTGATTGACGGCGATGAGAATTGGAAGAAGCCCGATTACGAACCGACTGTGCAAGAGACCGTCGACGATAAGGAGGATGAAGAAGAGGAGGAGGAGGAGGAAATCACGCAGGGACCGGTCGCGGCCGAGATCGAGGCCGAGGTCGAGGCCGAGGAGCAGCTTAAGTGCCAAAAGGTGACGAAGAGGAAACTCTCGCTGGACAGCTTATCGGACAGCAGGAAAAAGAGGAAACTGAGTAAGAGGGCTTTGTCGGTCGGCTCGTCTCAGGATTCGAGCAACGAGCGATTATCCAATGTCATCGCTCCGATCGAGCCGTTGTCGAATAAAACCGACAGCGTCAAAGCCGAGACGAACGTTCCGAAGAAGAAGCAAGCGAAAAAAGACGCAGGACCACGGGGTCAAAAGCGTAAGGCAGAGACGCCAAGTGCGAACGAGAGTGCGACGAAGAAGGCGAAGAGCGGCAAGCAGAGCGCGGCTAATAGCGTCATGAATTGTTTGAAGCGGACTGCCAGTGATATCTCGATAATGGAAACTATCGACGATGTGATACAACAGAGTCTGCAGATGACACAGAGAAAGGATCGGAAGAATAAAAACTGCGAACGTATGGAGAAGAAGAAGAAAAACATGAAAGAGGAATCATTACTGACGGTGAAGAGGATCGCGAAGAAGCTCGATCAAGTGAAGGAACAGTTTATCGAGAAGGTATCGAAGGCGATCTCGAAGAACGGTGGTCAGTCTAAAAGTAAAGCTGATGCGAAGCTGAAATCTAAGATTTCGCAGGACGCTAAGATCAAGGGGGGCAAGAGCAAGGTTGCTAAAACTTTCGCAGAAACGAAAGCCCAGGATACGAAAACCAGGGTGACGCAAGATTCGAAAGCGAGAGATGGCTCGAAGAAACGCGATACCGCATCCAAGACCAAAACGAGCGACGTCAGCGAAGATCCGAAGAAACCTGCGCTAATTAAGAAGAAACGGAAGAACGCGAAAAAGACGGCGAACGCCAAAAAGTCGGGCTGCAAGCTTGAGAATTCCTCGGTCGGAAACGAGAGCCTGACGTTAACAAGAAAAACGTTCCTGAAACCGAAGTGGAACAACGGGTGGAGCTGGGAGGGGGAGCCCTTTGAAGCCAAAGTTTATTTAACGGTAAGGATAATTACATCTTTCGGTCTGGACATTTCATTCGAATCTTGATATCGTTTGAGGAAGTAGAACCTCGCTGTACTCATCACATAGCAATAACTAGATTAAAAGAGAAAACTGATTGTTACTTATTTATCGATATAAAAATCTGATTTAATAGAATCTGTATACAAACTTTATATAAATATCTTCGTGAAGAAGAGAAATTATCATATTCTTTTCTTACAAGATGTGAGTTCAAAAGTTTATTTTCGCGAGCTTTAATTAAGAAAAATATTCTACAGATTACATGTTTTACTTGGCATTTTTTCCATTCATTGCCATGTGATGACGTTAGCCGTCACTATGAGTTGACTCGGTTTGTCATATTGGTTAGATTCCTCGATAAAGAAAATCTGATTGATTTTGATTGATTTTGAAATGTACCGTAGAACGAGGAAACAGCCATACGGCGATGTTACGCAAGCATGAGTCACGAGAGCGGCGACGTATTGCGACCTCGGGACTGCGTTTTGCTGAAGAGTGGTACGCGGAAGGGCGATTTACCATATGTAGCGAAGATCGCCGCGCTCTGGGAGAATCCGGACGACGGTAGGTATATCTTTGATCGCGGGAAAGTTCCCTGATCTCGATTCGCGATTAATATCACGTTTATTCTTCTTTCATTAGGTGAGATGATGTTCTCGTTATTGTGGTACTACAGACCTGAGCACACAGAGCAGGGTCGAACGCCGCACGACAGCGAGGACGAGGTATTTGCTTCGCGTCATCGGGATGCAAATAGCGTCGCTTGCATAGAAGACAAATGTTACATCTTGACGTTCAATGAGTATTGTCGGTGAGTAATCTCTACCGTGTTGATGAAATATTAATTATCAAACGAATACGTTTGATTGAATAAATTAGGTTCACAAAAACCTTTAATATTCTTTATTTAATTAGACAAATTTTTTCTTACATCTTGAAATAATGTTAAAGGCTTTTTCATACGTACTGCTCAAATCTCTAGTTTGTAATCAGCTAATATCGAAGTTTGTTGTTATATATAAATTTTTATTGTTCGCCAAGTTTACAAAGCGTTAAAATTGAGAGACGTAACTTTTTATCCCCCTAAGCAATAGCAGCATCGGTTTATCTACATCATTGCACATGATGATGCTTTTATGCGATAGGTATCGTAAAAACTTACGGAGGATCGAAGAGGGCTTAGAGAATCCTGGCTTGATAGTTCCGCCAGGGGACCAAGTGTATCCACGGGAGAATCGGCAGCCGCCTATACCAGTACCATCGGACATGGTGCTTTTCTGCCGACGTGTTTACGATTATCGCGGGAAGAAGCTCGTGAAGAATCCCGGATGACTCGAATTCTTATAAGATGCAAACCGAGAAAGCTTAGATCACACAATTGAAACTGGCCGCAGGTCTCCTTTCAAGAATAATTGCGTCGCTATTGATCGATTTATCTTGATTTCGATGAGGTAATATAAACGATATTAACGAGATCCGATTGTTTTTGAATTATCTAGATATCGCGAGTACATCTTCTACTCTTTGCACTTTTTGCGTTCTATTTGCTAAGAGAATAGCCTTTTGTGTGAAGAGATTGTTTTCGGTTTTGCCCAAAAACAATTGCGAGAAAGTGAAAAAGTAGATGCTCGCGAGTGTTTCAACTACGATCGGATTTCCTTTCATTCTTAAACGTAAAAGAATTCTTAAAACTTGGCGTCAAGAAAGACACATATAACAAAAAATGACACACACACATACACATTGTAAGATTACTCTTCTCATCGCTTGTATTAATCAGTCTTTCTATTTTGCTCGTCTGCGATATCACAGAAATCATGATGAATCGTTCATTAATTCTGGTGATAGACGTTGCATCGAATTTGTGCCGGTGGATCGAGCGCGAGAAGGCGCGTCAAGCGCACTCTCGTCTGAGCCGAAACATGTATAGATCAATTACAAGTTTTGGACAATATTTTTTTTTCAAGAGTGGCATTATCCGTATGTTCCTCTCGCGGGCGACTGCGAACCTTCGATCGCGCCTGCGCTGTCCGCTTTCCGCCGACACGAATGCCAAGCCAACGTATTTCGATAATGTGTATAAGCTGTTTCTAGGCGAGAGTTAGTGGGATTTGACAATTTTATAGAGAGAATAATATTTTTTGTGAGATAGCATTTTACACAACATTTAAATGAATATTTTTCACATAGGAGGTACAAATGCTGTGCGTTACGCCGTCACGTCAGCGTGCGTTATGGCGCCTTAACTTGAAGGGAACCTACGAACAGTTTCAAAGATAAGGAATCAAAAGTGGGGACGAAATTGCGAAATTATTAAGTACGAACAGTGAGATATATGTTCTATCGAACTCTCGATTAGATGTTTATGAGTATCTCGTACGAGGGGGCATGAACATCAAGCGCGTGTGACATTACACTTCCATTTTCCCATAGTGTGTTTGCATCTGTCTCGGGGATGCGACTTCTCCCCGAAACCCGATTCGCGCACATATGCCATCTTCGTGAACGCAATCATTGTAATGGATAAGATGCATTTTTACTAACAGTGCAAACAAAATATTTCTTCAAGTTTAGAAGTGGCTCGATCCCATCCAAAAAATTAGATTACATTTGTATATGATGGGTCGCCATTTATTATAATATCTTTAAATATCTTGTTTTAGAATTTTATCTTAAAGTAAAATATTGAGAAATCTATTATTGATGTAGGAAGAGAGAGGAGAGAGTTGTTGCGTTAGATCTTATGTTCCAAACTTGAAAAGCGATATAAGAATAACGATATAAAAAAATATTTTTGATGTATTTAATAACGTGAAGCGAGGATCAAAGCATTTTTGAAGAGAGAAATTGTGGTTCGAGCCATTTCTAAGTACATTGTATCTGTTCTTATCAAGGAGATTCTTGTTCTTTTTTTTTTGTTTTTTTTTGTTTTTAATATGATGACTCCTTCCAGAATTCTAAAGGCACAGACATTTAATCGCCAGGGACGTTTATGTTTTAGACTTGTCACGCACCGCGAGTCGCTTCTACGTGCAGTTTTGATCTATTTTTTTACGATTACTTTGTCTATTTTGATTCATAATGATTTTTAAGATTCCATAAGAAGAGAAAACTACTAGTTGTATATTATCGCCTATAACTTAGTATATGTAATCTTGATTTATAAAGAATCCACAATGTTAGCGATTAGTCAGTACTCGCGGTAGAGAGAAAAAGAGGAAAGGAAGAGAAAGAGAAAGGAAGAATGCCAAAAAAAACATTCACAAATGACGGGAAGCTTTTCGTATGCAGATCATTAATATTATCGTGACGTAATATTAATTTACGTTAATAATTTTGATAACAAAATTTATTACAAGATCATCGATAAGTAATTATTTCTAATGGGAATTCTTCGAATCATGTTGATTTTATTTGTTGAATATAGAATGCGATTTGTTGGAAATCATATTATTTAAAATTAATATATTGATAATATGGTTATTATTTAATATCTAATATATTGGACATAGATATTAAGTTATTTTACGAGAGAAAATAATGAGGAATATACAAGTAGAAAAGAGCGTGCGCGCGTTATGTATGTAAATGTGTGCGAAGAAAATAAAGAAGAAAAAAAAGGATGAGAAGGACGCGAGCACTGTCAGATAAATGAGCGAGTAAATTGAAAATATGATGGAAAGATAGAAAGAAAAAGAGAGAAAGATGGAAATCGGGGTCATGTTTGTACAGGATCATGTTTCGTGATATCAAATGTTTTTTTTTTTTTGCAAAATTTTTTCGTTGCGATTCGATGTGTATCTCATAATGTATTTGGATAACACGCACACACTCGATGAGATGCGCTCGACATATTTGATATATAAGATATTGTAATTTATAGTTTTACATAAACGTCATACATATAACGCGTAAATTTCGATAGACATCGTTCAATCGAACACAATGCGAAACAAAAGACACGCCGGATCCTCGCGCAACGCATTTCTGCTTTCCTCCGTGTCCACCAAAATCGCAAGATATAGATATGTATATGTGCTCTCCTTACATGTTTAAATACGAAAGAAATTCCAAAGAAACAACGCCGATCCCAAGGGGATGCGAATCGCGGCGCTTGTCGGTAATTCATCGGATTCTTGCGTAATCTTTTTATAGGTAGTTTTATATTCTTTTTTAATGCGCAAAAGAGAAAAACGTGAGATCAGAGAGAGGCAGGGAAAGAGAAAGAGAGTGGTGAAAATCAAGAAATATAAGAGTTTTTTTTTTTTTTTTTAAGTAAAGGATAATACAGATAATGGAAGAAGAATGTGTGATTTAGATAAAAGCGTGAAATCGTCGGAAATATAGAGAAAAAAGAAAACGAGAGAAAGGGTGAGTCGAATATACTGTGTCGTGTCGCCGGAATGAAGTGTACTCACCGGAGATCGTCGAAACAAGACAGGCGGACCGCGCGCGCCAGTGTAAATCTCGTACGTGTAATAATACTTAAAAAAAATAAGAAAGGAAAGAAAAGAAGCGCGCGGTTCTATCGAGCCGGTATGCGGATGTAATTTTGAGGAACTTACCTATTTAACGACGGTTAACATGGGAACATTGCACACAATGCATATCCTCTGTTCATTTTACGTAGCCGACGAAACTTTTTCCATCGAGAGAAATGAGAAAGCGGTGGATCACTCTTAGTCGTTCGTAAGGCGCGGAGGTGCGCAAGGTTCGCGGCCTCCACCCACCCCCGCCCGCCCCGCTCCCTCCTTGCATCCGCTTTAATCAAAATGCAACAAGTGTCGGCTGTACGCGCTCATCGAGATCGGGCGCGAAAGTCGCGCTCGAGATACCATGTTGATTAATGTACGAGCGTGACTAGGAATGATTTGACTCATATTGAGTACCCCTGTTCGATTATATTCATCATGTTAATCCTTAATTGATAAGGTGTAAAGGGATCATCATATTTATATTATGAAATATAGTAGGCGATATACATTCATTATTAACGAAAGGGAGATATTAAATACGTACTTTTTATTACTTTTTGTATTGCACTTACAAATCAGAGAGATTGATTTTTTTTCTTTTTTTTTTTTCAAATTTATGTATTATATACATATTTAATGATAATATTTTTTTGTTATAAAACGAAACGTTATATATTGATGAGTCGAATGACAAGTCGAAGCTAATTTAATCGAGAAATTAAATACTTGGTTAAATTAAAATCAGCTTGGATAATGCGAACATATTTGGAAAATGTCCCAAGGCACTGTTTATGTTTTATAAATTTTTTCATAAATTTGAAATAGAAATAGAAAGAATTATAATTCACAATGTATTAAATATATATATATACATATTTGTTATATCATCAATTATATATACAGACCAATTATATACAGCGAGCAAAAATACTGAAACAGCGAAGGATAAAATCTCGAATATGACAGATTGAATAATTACAATACCATTTAATCTGTATGTCAAATCAAGAATTGAAACCATGATACTTATGACAATTTTAATTGAGAATTGTGCAAGAAAAAATTATTCATTAGCATGCGGATCGCGATCGTTGCCCGATCTCGAGAACGCGATCGCTGTTTACGAACGATTAACCCAATAAACTTTCATTACGGGGCGTTACGTGGTTTGCCGTGCGGATGCTCGATTTTTATGATTTATTTGTCGGAACAGAAGAGCCAGGAGAGAGAGAAAGAGAGTGAGAGTGACAGAGAGAAAGAGAGTGAGAGTGAGAGAAAAATTGTATTCGTAGGCGGTGCCTCGTTCTCGTTTGCTGCGAGACTTGTATATGCCTCTTCCTGCATTGCATATTTCTCTCGTTTATATAAATATATTTTGTATATCGCGAAAAAAAGAGAGTGTATATATTATAGTCAATATCGTGAATTATTATTGATTACTCTCTGATTGCTCTGGTTTGAATAAGCACAAAGTTTGGGATTATTGGTATTGATTTTTATATTCCAAGGTACATATGTACGTTTAACAGTTTGATGCTGAACATTTATTGCAGAGAAAATAATTTTGTATAGCGTTGCGACTTTTATTTATGTTATATTATGACACATTTTTATTTATCTATATTGCTTTTCAAGTATCAATGTTTTTGATGTATATAATTAATACTTTTTTTAAGATACTTCCGTAAAATGCTTTGAAATACCAAATGAAATTACAGTGTAGTTGTAAATGCAAATACATTGTATAATTTTATTGCTTGGAATAACGAGACATTAAGCTTACTAAGACGGGCTGAAAATATTGCTCACAAACCAATATCTATATATATATAAAACATATATTTTAGTTTATCATAAAGTATTTTCCAAAGAATAAATAAATTAATAACGCTTTGTATGATCTATTAGATTGCACATATTTAAATATAAATATATATTTAAATAATCTAACCATAGTTCTCTCGCAGTTATCAATTAAATGGCAAAAATAAAAGAAAAAAAATTGCTTTCAGTTTTTTTTTCAAGAAATTATTTTATTGTTACATTTAAGAGAATGTTATTTACGTATGAATGATAAGCTTCTCGTGTAGGTATTTGCGATTGATTTTTCGATGTAGCACACATACTGCTACTTATATATTCGTTGCTAGAATAATTATACTTATTTCTTCCTATATCAATTATCGCGTTAAATGTATGGGAAAAATGCGCAAGGCTCGCAGACGGCTTGCGTTTCTAGGAGAAGCGAGGCACGTCTAGGAATTTGTATGCTTGTAAATCATTGCAGAGCGTCTTGAGTCGAGATCTGTTGAAACAGAAATAAACAAGAAATCTAATTTATACCAAGTGTCTTACTAAAGTATCTATTCCAATTATACCAATAAATGGATAGATACGGTTTCACAGTATCGAGACAGATGTGTGTCAAGTATAGTATTAATTATACGAACTCTGAGAAACGCGAAACGTTCGAAAACATCAATTTTCGAAAATCTATATCTATCTATATATCGTCATTTTATTATTAAGAAAAAGAAAGATTGCGTCTCCCTATATGATAAAAAATTGACTCCCTCTTCATTATATACTTTTCACATTGCGAAAAAACTAAATTAATTTATTACTATAAATTAATTTATTTCCGTGAATTATTTGCAAAAATGTTATCTTTTGACTTTAGAAATCACATGGAATTACATTAAGGAGAATAAGATATTCTATTTTGTTTGATTCTTATTTAATGTAATTTTATTTTAGAACCGCTATCATCTATACATTTATATGTTAAGCTTTCAGAATTTTTATCAAGATTAGCGAAAACGAATCTTGCACAGTGTATAGCGGATAAATGATGTAAATCTTTTTTTCTTTGCGAGTCTGTTTATGCACTCAGAGCTTTTGGAAATTAGACGAAAGACGTTAAATATAAACCTTTTTTCTCGTATCACGAATCCTGTTTCTTTTATCTTAACACTCTAGAAAACTTTGCGGCGTCGAATGTTCTCTCGAAATTAGTATCGATTAGAGATTGCTCGTTTGAATAAATGCGAACGGCAAACTGAACGGCAACGCCACGCACGAGCATACAAATACAATAAAAAGAAAGAAAGAAGTATTATTTCTACACGAAAGCCGAGAGATAAAGGTATATAAATAATATATATATTATATGACAAAGTATATAAATATATATATATATTTAGGTAATTAGAATAAATAATATATATGTATATGATTGAGAGAAAATGAATAATTATAAATACAGTATACACACATACATACATATACATATACAAACTCTTACACAACAGGTACACACGCATAGATCCTGACACGCATACAATTTACACGTACGGTACAGAGCAATACGTGATACTTCTGTGGAGGACAGGGAACAAGAAGATAATACAAGTGCCAGAGAGCATTCCTAGGAAACTCTTTTTGCGATCGTTTTACCGTCTGTGTTTTTTTTTATTCTCGAAACGGGTGTGCATCTACATATTAGCGAATAAATCGCCTCGCGATCCGCAGGATCGTTCCTAAGCCGTGCTGTCTGTATCTATAATTATTGCGAAGCGACACGACACGACTCGTAGACATAATTAGCACGTTTCTTCGAGTGGAGATCGCGATGGTGTCAAGTGTATGGAGACGAGAAACGCGTCCTAAATGAATCATTGTCCTCCATAAAGAATTTAAAAGTATGCTATAAATCGAAGATAATAATAATTGCTTCGATATTTTTGTTCGGAAAATAGCAATCGATTCCAAATTGGTGAATCACAGATTGAAAGAAAAAGCTCTGCTTTTTAATGAAAATGGCAGGTTTGCATGATATTAAAAAAACTTGCTCTTTATATCAATTTGAAATCGAACAACAAATTCGAAATCGTTTATAATCGATGAAAAAATTTTGCTTTCGAATCAAAAGGAAAATTTTTTTATCAATTATGAACGTTATCACATTTTTCGTTTCTGATGTCATGATTCAATTACAACTCTAGTGCATAATCTATGGATAAAAGAAAATAAATATAAAATAAATATAAAAATTGCGATATTAATTTTTAATATATAACAAATTCACATAGCCATTAATGTTATATTTCACTTTCTCTCTAACTATAAATATATAATACACTTTTTCAAGAAAATATCCAAAAGTTGCCTGTAATATAATATATAATATCAATAAATTACAATGTTTAATTTTTCAAATAA